GACGGCGTCGAACGGGTGGTTGCGTACGGCAGTCGGGTGTTGTCTCAAGCAGAGCAAAGATATTGTGTTACCCGCAGAGAACTGTTGGCAATTGTCTATTTCATCCAACAGTATCGCCCATATCTGTACGGTCGGCGTTTCACCGTCCGCACAGATCATGCGGCACTGCAGTACGCCCTGCGAGTTCAACAGCCATCGGGACAATTGTCCCGATGGTTGGAGATCCTCCAGGATTTTGATTTTGACACCACATACCGTAAGGGCGTCCGCCACACCAACGCGGAAGCTCTGTCGCGCATGCCAACCACCTCGGAATGCGCGTGCCTCCTGGGGTCGGGACGTTGCAAACCAGCAGGGGACGGGTCGGTTCCGGGCCTTGCGGCCGCCGCCGACGGCGGGACAGTTGTTCAGAATTCCATTGAACAACAAGGGAAAGATTCCCTGCTGGGTTTGCACATTCAGGAATGGGGGCGCCTCCAGATGGAGGATACCTCCCTCCTCGCGTTGCGTCGTCGCGCCGGGGAGGCAGGGCGGGGATCGGGTGATGCCGATGCATGGGAAATGCACGCGGGGTTGCTGTTGCACTGGGACGGAAAATCCCACCGACACCGGCTGGTGGTCCCTTTGGGCTTACGGGGTAGGGTGGTGTGGGCTGCTCATGAGCGCCTCCTCCACCTGGGTACCCAAAAGACCCTCGCCTTGCTCCAGCGTGATTTCTTTTGGCAAGGCATGACAAGGGATGTCTCTGATCTGTTGGCTTCATGCCCGCGGTGTGCACAGCGAAAACCACCAGCGCGAGAATCAAACCCGCCCTTGCAGTCTATCAGGGTCTCCAGAGTAAACGAACTTGTCGCGCTGGATATTCTGGGCCCATTCCCCGCCACCCCTAGGGGAAACAGATACTTGTTAACCGGGGTCGAGTATTTTACGCGCTGGCCTATGGCCTGGCCCCTGGCCAATCAGTCGGCAGCAGCCATCGTCGACGCCTTTGTCCAAGGCTATGTCATGGACAAAGGTGCCCCGGAGCGGCTGCTGACCGACCAGGGTAGAAATTTTTCCGGAAAACTCCTCCAACAGGTTTGTGAGCTCCTAGGAACGAAAAAGATTCGTACTTCCCCCTATCACCCGCAAACTGACGGGATGGTCGAGCGTCTGCATCGCACCATCTCGTCTATGTTATCACAGCAGGTTTCGGACTCACAGACTGATTGGGACTTGAAAATCCAAGGGGTCTTGGCAGCATACAGATTGGCCCCCCATGCTGCAACGGGATTTTCGCCATTCTTCCTCATGTATGGGCGCGACCCTGACCCACCCATTCGGGCACAGCTGCAGATCCCCACACCACTGGGTAAAACTAAATTAATTGACCATGTCAAATTCAACCTTGAAAAATTGACTGAGGCACGGGATGCTGCCATGTTAAATTCGGAACAGCGTCAAAAAGCAAACGAGCGCCTCAGACTGGGTCGCGCGCACGTGCTGCAGTGGAAGCCGGGGGACAGAGCATGGCTGCACTGCCCCCAGGTACCGCTCGCAACATCCCCTAAACTGGCGCGGCCGTGGAGGGGTCCTGTAGAGGTGGTCGAGGTTCTGCGGCCTCAGTGTGTTCGCATCAAATGGGGGAAGCGCCGGTGGTTTGTGCACCCCTCGAGGCTAAAACCATTCGTTGCGGTGCGAGGCCCCACTCCACACACGCGTGGCCAAACATGTGGGGGGTCGGCCGACTCAAAGGGTCCGTCCTTACTGCCCTCGCCTGACGTGTCGCCGGCTGTCCCACCCACAGGTGCACCGGGACTGACGAGCTCGCACCCACCTACCGCTGCGAGGGATGCCGAGGGTCTCGCGACGTCAGACGCGGACTCAATACAAAATGAACAACTGCCACCGGCGGGTTCGCCACCCGGGATTGCCCCGTGTGACGGGCCTGCAGCAAGGACACGCGCAAAAATGCGCAGACTCTTATAATGCATTGGAAGAACACTTTATTCTCTTATGTACGGTTGCGGGGTGCTGCGTCGGTGGGGAGCTCCTACCACATTTTTGTTGTGTTGCATGCGTGCTAGGAGTTCCCTGCTAAACCTGTATATACGTCGCTCTTACGGTATTCGTATTTATTCAGGGGGGGTGCGTCGGATTGTTCCCTTCGGGGTTGTGGGTTTTGTTGTTGTTGTCGTTGTTGTTGTTGCTGTTGTTCCCTTCATGTTATCGTTAAAAACGTTTTTTTTTAAGGCACACGCGGGGATCCAGGGGTTAAATAACCTTTATTGAAGTTGTTGCAGCCGGGACGGCTGCGAGCTGTACAGGGGGGGGTGATGTAGGGCTGTTACAGAGGGGCTGTTTGTGTAGGGCTGTTTGCATAGGAGCTAACGGATAACAAACACAGTGGGCGGGGACTCCGTGAGCACACGGGGTGGTGCCCGCAACGACGTCCGCACTGGACGGCGTGAGGGGGGTTTCGATCCTCTAGGGGGGTATAAAAAGGGATGAGCCAGAGAGCTCGGGGTTGAGTCTTAGTGTAGTTAAAGGAAGAAGGAAGACCGGCCAGATAGGCCCTGGACTCCCCCTGGGACGCCGCCCTTGTAAGGGCAGCGCAGGCTGGAGCCAGTGGCGTGGTCCCGGAACCAGAGTTAGTCCTCTGGGATTCCGGGTACCGTAGCCCGACTGACCAGTGTCGGGCCAGACAGCCTCCCCTAGCCCGTTAGTGGAGGACTCGGCTAGGAAGGCTAGCTAGAGGTGAATTCCTAGTTATACAGGGTGAGGGGGCCGATACATCCCTCCTGTGCTGTACGACATTGTGTAAATAAATACGTGTGCCTTACTACGGTGTCCACGCGTCTTCAAGAGTACTTCACATATACTATTTGACCAAAAAAAGCACAAGGAATATACAGATTTATTTTTTTGTAATGATAATGCAATGAATATAAATTGCTCCAAATAGTTTGTTTGAGGTTTACTTTGGGTCAGTTTTTTCACTCTCTCGCAAAACTCAATTGCACGGACACTAAATTTGTGAATGCATTTGTTATGCTTCGTGGGACGCTATGTCATTTAAACTTCAATTGATTATTCGGTCAATATTTAGTTTAACTCAACACTACACAAAGCATTTTAGCTTTGAATGCACTGCAAATTTAGCAGTTGGATTACGCATCAATGGCATTAGAAGTCCCTGTTAAAAATGCACTGCCCGTAAAACGATTAAGGTGTAGGCTTGCTGGGTTCAGATTTGGGTTCATAGCTCAGTGTGTGACGATTCCCACATGCCCGTTTCTTATCATTTGAATGGATTATAACTGGGATCCTGCCAGTCATTAATTAATGCATCCCAGGCATGCTCGGACATAGGTAAGGGATGTACCTGGGCTAGCCTCAACTCGGCTCTCCAGTCCCCTCCACCAGCTTTACAATATCGCCTGAACGTCATTCCAGAATCTGGGTCAAATTTGGACAAATGTATGCACTGGGAATTGGCCATGAATGCATTGAATGGTCATCCTCATTCAGTGTCCAACATACCAACTGTGTCGCACCAATGACGACCATGTGTGGGCACAGGCCCTGGCACGGCCGATGGCAGTACTTAGATCGTCAGCTGTGCACAAGCTTCTCTAGAAGATGACACTGGGGCAGATGAGTGACGTTTCCCCTGTTCTTCACCGCGAGTGCAGTTTGTGTTGTGGGCCTGACCAATATAGCCCCAGCTTATTAAGGTTTAACTTTCGGGTTAGGGTCTCTATCAGAAGCATAATTAATGTTGATGCTGTTAGATACTGGCTAATTGCTTTTGGGCTTGATTACAGGTATTGACCAGAATTTAGAAACAAATACATTTACAAATGAGATCATTTTACCCAGGTTTTAATTAATAGAATGTAAATATGTGATGCATTTTCAAGAATAATCCTGAATTGAAAATATTGTATTTGAGCAAGTATAAAAATGTCAGCCAGAGATTTAAATGGAGAGTCTACTAGCCCTGGCATTTCCCATAGGCCTTCTCTTGCCTGAATGCCAGGCCCCATGCAATACCCAGACTAAATTTGCCAATCCCATTATCCTATTAGGAAATGTAATCAATTCTAGGAATCGAATAACGGTCAGTGGCTAGCAATCGTGACAATCGCTCAGGATTACTATCAACTGATGGTAGGCCTGCCTAAGAATGGCAGGCCTAACATCACAAAGCTCAATGCACAGCACACTCACAGCTGTGTCACCACTCCCCCAAATATGTGTTCTTCTATGCAGAAAAATCGTTAAGATGCATTTGCTTCAAAAGCAGAGATCCATGATCTTGCATTGGCATCAATCTGCTCTGTGTGCTGACCTTCATATATCTCTTGCCTCTGCATTCAGCTTCCATCAAAATCCCTGGGCCAAACTTTAACGTGAACATATTTGACATTTGAATCACGCAAATTATTGTGAACATTTAATATGGATGTGCTAAGAGTAACATAGAGTTTTTGGCCTTTAGATATACCGTACCTTGTAATGTTATTCAACAAATATCAAGGTCAAAGTCAAAGTGATTTTCCGGCTCAGCTTGAGCATAGAATGGCAATAATTTCCTGTTAAGCCCTGAGCTAGTTGTGGGAATTAGGCATTACTATGGCAGGGCCAAGTTTATCCACGGGACAACCACTGTTAACTTCCCTAAAACAAATGTTGGTACCGACTTTAATTACCCAAGAGGGATCAATCGGTGATTATTTTCCCCGACAGGAAACTGAAATTGCAGCCTTTGGATTGCAAGCTGCTCGCTCCACAGCTGTGCCACCCAAACAGGTTAATATAAGCAACGTGTCATTTTAGAATGTTTCAGTAATTTTCTCGGCAAACTTGCCATAGAAACAGAGAGAAAATTCAACCGAGCACGAGAATAACATGAGAATACGGATTGCCCGGTGGAGATTGATAAAAACACAAATCCCAACCACCAATGCACGTACACCACTCGGCATCCGATCAACCGTGCGACACGAAACACTTGCCTCAAATTCCACTTCAGCCGCCCTCTCCGCCTCTTGCTGCAAGCTCGTTAAGTATTCCTGTCCATCGTTACACTCCTCCACTAGGATTTGGCTGCAAAGATGAGCAGATGACACACACGAGGCATTTACATGTCGTTAAGCGCATCAGTATTCAAAACATTGTTTAATGATTAATTCAAGATGTTTAACCCCTTAATGCACAGCTTAAGAGTGTTAAGCAGCGTTGAATTGTCACCAGCTGCTGAGGCTAGGCAGGTAAGGTGTTTCTATACCATCATTGTCATCGTCATTTACCAATCATCAGCCATTGTATATCCACTGCTGGATGAAGGACCCCTCACGCTTATTGAGATGAAACATTCTTACGTAAATCCGTGAATTATTGTAAACATAACTTAAAATATTGCAGAATGGATCCTTATTTTTTATTTATTTCAATTCGTAAAACATTCTCACTGGGTGCGTCGTCTCTAACGTATAACATCGTCTCTTGAGCAAACGGACCTTCTAAACATGTCTCAGCAGATGGCTTTAATGACCCACCGTTCTCAATGAAAATCGTCACTTCTCAATGAAATCATCATGAGGCCTTCTTTGCCAGTACCAAAATATACTAATAGGATTTTTCCCCTTTTTTCTGGCAACAAAACTGACTCCTTTTTCAAGGAATCATGTTTACATTAACCATAATACTTGCAGTCAAAATGCAAACAAAAAACAAAACTCTGATAATTTATGCATTGTCCTTGAAACTTATTGGTCAATGTAGGAGGCATTCAACGATTAGCTTCTCTGAGTAATTGAATGAATTGTCACAATTTTGGGTAACGATTTGATCAAGTAATTATTCCTTGTTTCGACTGCCTTGTTTGTGCTGCACATTTTTGTTCTAATTATTATATCATTAGCATATCATTTGGATACATTGCAATTGATCACTTTCTAGCCACAATCACTTCAAGTCGTTTAATTGATGGATTCCCACGTACCTATAATTTGTAATATGCCATCTCCTTGTTTCACGAAAAATCACACGATTGATGGAAATTTAATCTATTATTGAGTCAGAACACATCATCGACAAATGCCCCCTCAGATCTTTCGATGGAGGAATGGAACGTCCTCACTTTGCTTCACCAAAAATAAATCTATGACGTGCCTCAAACCTCGATTGAGATGTATGATCGTTGCTATTTCAACACAGCCACCCGCAAGAAGAAAGATAATTGGGTAAGGACAGGCTTACAGAAGGGACCTTTGAAAAAAAACGTCCGTGACATTTCTATCCGAGGCAATTCCCTGAGTGTGAGCATTGTGACGATACATTTTTTCCCCTCACACCTCCGATAGCCCAAGTGGCATACAATCATTCCTGATAGATTATAAAATGGCTGTAGCATATTTTTTTTCTGATGCTTGTTTACCCAAGAAAGCCTCATCGAGTCTCAAGACTCTTTTTTTTCAGGAGGGTCCTGCCAAGTTTCCGCAGTAAAAGCGTGACGTTGCTGCTGCTGTGTGTAATCCCCATTGAATACTTTGCAAGTGATATTTGCAGCTTTGAGATGTTTTGGCTAATATCAGTTACCTATATATATGTATTTTTATCATAGCTATGGGAGAAAACTGGAGACCCATGCAGTACAGGAGGAGACCATTCAAACTCCACACAGAAAGGCACCCGAGTTGGAAATGAAACCCAGGTTCTTGTTACTGTGAGGCACAAGTGGTACCACTGCGCCACCCTGCCACCCAGGGTTCATATACTGGTGCCGTAATCTTCCTAAATCTGCTTATTGTTTCACGAACATAATCATACTCTGAAGAGTTTGAGAAAATGTGTCCGAGCCGACTTGCGGGAATAGCGTTCCTTCGTCATTGATTTAGATGTACTTCATCGCTCGCCGTACTTTAATAATCCTTTTGGGCCACCCTGGTCACTCTTACAAGCGAGAGATGACCCCCCGTCCCCCCCACCCCCCCCACCCCCCCACCCCCCGCCCCACCCCACCCACCCTCACCGCCCCCCCACCCTCTCAACCTCGTCATTTTTCAACCCGACCAAAACAACTCAACCAGTGGAGGGGCCAAAGCAGCGGCAGCCGCGTAGCCACTCACCTGTCGGGCGGCTGCACGGCCCGCGGTCCCGGCGTCACCACGGGGACGGTCGGCGCGGTCTCCGTTGCCACGGCGACCGTGGCTTGCTCCCTCGGCTTGCCGCCCTCTGGGACCGGTGGGCACTCGGTCTGCGTGGCGGCGTCCGCTCGCGGCGAGGGAGCCGTCGTTCCGACCGCCGCCGCCGTCGTCGCAGTTGGAGTTCCGCCGACCGTGGCCTGTGACCCCCCGTGGGCTCGGGGTCGCAGGGGGGCCTTCCGCCGCACCTGCATGGTGATCGGCTCTCGGGCCGAGCGCAAGGCCTCCACCGCTTCCTCATGGCTAATGCGTGACAGGTCCTTCCCGTTCACCTGCCGGCGAGAGGTGGTCGAGGTGGCAATTAGGAGCGAGAAAAATCTCTCCGGGCGGCGGTTAATTATTAGCCGGGGAATCTTGAGCGCTGGCTCGGAGCCTCCCCGGGGGGGGGGGGGGGGGGGGGGACACACGGGCGCTCCCCGGCGCTCGTTTGAAGATTTGGGGACACCGGCTGTTTGTCCGTAGCAGATTCTATCGGGCCGGGGCATCGCTCGGAGCTTAGGGCCCATAAATATTGGGAGTTAAAATCCTAGCCAACAAGATCAGCTCAGCCCGTTCATCTCTTGTGGAGTCGGTAAAAGATATTGCCGCCTTGCAAATGAATGCCAACGTGGGGGGAGCAGTGGTGTGCACTTTAAACCACGTGCCTGGTGCCATTGGACTCTTGAGAGGTGTGTCTGCCTTAATGTATAGTGAGTAGAATACCAGGGGTTCCACAGCCCGACTCCAGAGCCCCGTTAAGCCATCACTTTCACGAAGAGTTCCTCATCCTTCTGCCCATCGACCACTGAACACAGCTGGAAGTGGGGCTCTCGTCATCTCCGTTGCCAGCACCGCTCGGTGAGAAGCCTCCATCGGTTGTTGGAGTGTAGAGAATACATTTTGCGGAGAACGCGCTTCCCATTGTGATGCGTAATCCTTAAAAAATTACAATTAAACGTAACGTTGCAGCTTTGTCTCTACACACGAACTGTGAATATAATTTTCTTTCTTTTTTTTCGTCCCACCCAAATGGTCACACCGTCACGTGGGAGTGTGCGTCATATCAGCATCATTGGCTTTCAGTGTCTCATCAGCAGTCAGACGTAAGGACCCTTTTTGTACAATTATCGTCATTGTGGAGAATGTTAACAGCGGCATTTATGCCGCCTTGAGAGCCTATGGATACTGCTGGGCATGGGCGCACTTTCACATTTGATATGGTTAATGTTCTTACTTACACGTCAGGTTTTTTTTGCTAGCATTATTAATGTGCATTTTAAGCATGTGCCCTTAACAATATGCCCCTCATTTCACGTGCGGTTAATGGCAGCATTATTTTCCGTCGCTCTGAAAAATATATAAACCCCTCACTGATAATGTGTTGAAGTTGAAAAAGAAATAAACCCTTCAATGATAATGTTTTGTACCATCGATGCAAGGTACAAAGAGGCATTCTCATGAAAATTCGTAGAGCATTCGCATCGTGATGGTAACACGAAGCGACATTTCCCTTTCAGCGTTGGCTTCTGTATCGGGCAGGAGGATTTTACCGAGATAGTGGCAGAGCAGGGGCCAGCGAATTTTCTCGTCGGAGAGATCTTTTTGAATTGAATTTGCGAATGCGTGCAGAAAAAAAACTTGAGTACGCGTTTAAAATGCATTCCTCATGGAATCATCGCAAGGCAAAGCCTGTGGGAAGAGAGAGGTATGCTTAAGGTTGTAAGCCGTTCACTTTGTATTATAAAGGCGCTGAAAATACATTTCGAATGACACTCCAAACACGTGGGGAATTGAGCCAGGAAATGTTACATTGCAGCTCCCTTACAGTGTTAAAAACCCCCATCCCAAAAGATTTATCACATCATAAATAACAAAAAAAATGGTATATCTTTGCAATTTTTTTACCTTATTGGATTTAAACATATCTTCTAGGATTGCATGAAACTCGAAGCTTAGAGGATTCTATTGTAATGCTCGCCCACGAAACGTTTCACTTTCGGCTGTAGAATCTTTTTGCTAAAAATGTTGGGATAATTGTTTGTCCCTGTGGTGTGTGAACGTTAGAAGCGCTGCGTGCCGTTTTTGTACGTGGAGCGAGTGTCTCGCAATCTGGAGTTCAAAACCTCGGTTGGGGTTTGAGTCAGCCCATCATCCCCCCTGGGGGTCTAAAAAGTGAATACCCCATTGTGGGAAAATCATCAGTGGTTGCCCGGTGAATAAACTCGACCCCGCCAATGTTAACGTGGAATTGCCACCATCAACTCGGGAGGGAGAGCACCGCCTCAACGCTCCATTGGGCAGCAAAATCACGACGATGATTTTAAATTAATCGTTTGCACTCGCTAGGCCATATCTCTGCACTGAGGTTTTAATGATCCATCTTGTTTTCATTCAATTTTATTGATATCATCAACCGAGCAAACGTAGACAAATGGAACCAGGGTTCAATGGAGGTCACCGCGTCCGATACAGCCGAATAGCTCTCGTGAAGAACCTCGTCGTGAACTGAGGCCAGAATGAGAAGCGGCGGAGAGAAGGAACGGGGGAACGATGAGAAGACTAAGGACGCCAAATCTCTTGCTTAAACCCTCTGCGGCACAACGTTTGTCTCGTCGGCGGTACTGTCTCGTGATATTTTCTCACAGCTCACGCCAGGTGCAAAGATTTTTCGTAAATGCAAATTATCACTTGCGGCGAAAGCAAAAAAAAAAACAAATCCCGTGCGTGTTTCCTCGCCGCCGACACTCACGCGGTGGTGCGCGAAAACTCGGCGCATATTCATCAGGGCAGAGGTAGCACAGGGCTCCATAGGTTGTGCTCCTAACGATGTAGACGTGATGTCACGAATCTGTTGACCTTTTCCTTGGCGACACACTCCTAATGGCTTTACAAGCGGCGGCCTTGTAGCTGCCCGCTTCCTTGCTCGGCGGTAGTGAATGCAGATCTCAGCTGGGAATATGTACCAACTGCGTATCATCACTGGAATACTGATGAGGCGTAAATTATTTAGAGCGTCATCCCTGCACGCAAGCGTGCGTCGGTGTGAGGATCGAGAGCTGATGGAGAATATGCACAGTGGAGTTTAATTTGAATGTCTAATAAAAAAATATATAAAAACTATGTTTTATTTTACAAGGTAAGGCTATATAGCTCTTTTTCAGACGCGACCTCGGCCACAAATGATAGCCCAATTAAGTGGCTTGTCACGTGGAGATTTAAAGCAGCCAAATACTCTAAAAGCATATTCTTAGGTTTTTTCAGTAAAGTCACAGCAAATCTGGCTGTGACTGTCCCACCTGATGACGGAGACTTGTGTTGCCTCCGAAACGTCGTGATTTTAATTTTAATTTTATTTTACTTTTATTAATTTTTATTTTTTACCTACGTGACTTTACCGAAAAAAAACTAAGAATATGATTCCTTGCAGTTACGAAACCTTTAAATCTAGAAACTCTAAAAGCATGTTGATTCTAAATGTGGAGGAAAAAAAAACAGGAGGACCTGGAGAAAAATCCACTCGACCCCGGGGAGAGAGAAATACAACAGGCGTCAGGGTCGGGATCGAACCCACGTCCTCTATGCATACCGGGCGAGCTAGATAACATCTCGCCAACGCGGCCAATTGCCCACACAAGAGGACATTTGCATGCTATGACCATTTGTTATTTTGCTTCTGTTCGTTGAGGATGTGGATCACTCTCTCAGCTATTGATATTAACATAATTAGTTCGCGATGTAACAGTTCGCACACCAGACTTGCCCTCCGGAGGTCACCGGTTCGATCTGCTGATGCGGCAGCTGAAACTAAGGGGAAGATTTCTTTAACGATTCCGTCCCCCCCTCGCCTCTGTCCACCCAGCAGTAATAAATTGGTACATCACACTTAGCCAAATGGCAGGTTTTATGCGTTGGAGTAAAGTGTGGGCACGAAAGTCGTCTGGCCAACGTGGAAGAATAGCCCAAAACAGCCACTCGAGATACTCTCTTGGACAACACACCCCAATCGAGTTCCTTCCGACAGCAGTGGAGTGAGCAAGCAAACGACAGGGCTGTCACCCCTCTCTCGTCATCTCGCGTGTGTTTGTTGTCCGTACGTTCGGCGTTGACACGGCCACCCCAGTTCTCTTGCCAGCGTTGGGGGAAAAACACTTTGGAAGTCTCGTGCATTCAATCTAGATCTGAAGTTTTCGTGACTGCAATGATCCATACTCTTTGGTTCTTTCGGTAAAGTCACGTAGGTAAAGAAAATAAAATAAATGTAATCACGACGTTTCGGACACAACACAAGCGTCTGTCATCAGGTGGGATAAACACAGCAACTGCTTTTTGCTGTGGTTGTCCCACCTGATGACGGAAGCTTGTGTTGTGTCGGAAACGTCGTGATTTAATTTATTTTATTTTATTTACCTACGTGATTTGACCGACTCTCTGTGTTGCATTACATTACATTTCAAAATTTTGCTAGGTTATTTAATTCAGTGTGTCTCTCTCCCTGTCTCCTCATTTTTCCAAGCTTCTGCAGCGTGCCACTCATTGACATGCTAATTTCTCTAACCCCTCCCTCTCTCTCTGCCCCCGCCCCCTCTCTCTATTTAAGGCCTCGACACAGAGGCGTGGTTTCTCTCTGTGTCTATGTATCTCTGTGATATCTGTCTCTACTTATATGTCTGTCTATATGTCTCTGGCTCTGTGTTTTATCTCTCTCTCTCAAATTTAGCATTCTCAGGAAGAACGTAATCAACCAGGTAGGGTGTTGACTGTTATGTTATCCGACTCTCTATTGTATTACATTACATTTCTAAGTATACTATATTTGTGTTTCTATTTCATTTATACCTGATGATGATTGCTTGTGTTGCAATCGAAACGTCGTATGCTAGTATTTAATTGATTATTTTCTCTATATACGTGACTTTACTGAAAGAACCAAAGAGTAAGTTTCGTGTATGCTTAGCTTCCCAGTGCCCCCCTTGGATAGGTCGGCAGGGGTTTCATCCCGTGGCACATCTCGCCCCAATAACCATCTGCAAAAAAATGATCACGTGAAACACATACTCCCTGGATAGGCCAAAATGAATACAGTCGTAAATAAGGCTAGATTTTTTTTTTGGTAACAGCACTCGTGCACAATTGACCGCTACAACACAAGTGGGTGCAAGGTTAATAAACATGCCCTGGCTCCCAAGGTCTTCCCCTCCGTGGAAACACCACCCTCCCCCCAAAAAAACCCCTATTTGCATTCCCCGTTGCAATGACAGACTTTTATAAAATCAATAAACACCACCCAGGTTGC